GGACAAATTGGGTATGAAAAAAAATTATTAATTACTTCTTTTTTTATAATGATGATGAACATTGAATTAAACAAAGCAAAACAGAACCAGGTTCAAGTACAAAGCATCCCACGAGAGGTGGGAGAAGAGACACCACAGGAAAGGAACAAAAGTAAAAGAAGGAACAGAAACAGACTCTCAGCCGAGAATATAAACAAAGACGAGGAAGGGAAGGAAAAAATAGCAAATGAATACAGAAGCAAACTCTAACCCAAATCACCCGGCAGAAGCACTCCGACGAGTAAGACGATCCTGCAAGAAGATCATTCCCTGAAGCTTATCAATTTTCTTATGTACCGTGATCCATTCGACGATAGCTCTGGAAATCTTCCTCGCCACCACCGAAGAAGGACATCGAATCTCCTGGAAAATACGTTGATTCCTCTCCATCCACACGTACCAACATACCGCGTGAATAGCGCAGGAAGAGAACCATGCCTCAACACCCTCCAAATTGATAGACTCATTATGATTGATAATGGTGGAGATATCACCAGACGAAAGATCCATAGGATTGATGTTGTTGAATACCTCCTCCCACACTCTCCTAGTATAGCAACACCCCACCATAAGATGATTGATCGACTCTTCTTTCATATAGCAGAGTTCGCATTGATTAGCTAGCTCGAATCCACGCTTCTGTAAATTGTCAATAGTGAGTATCTTCTTGTGCCATACTAGCCAGAGGAAAACACATACTCTAGTTGGGATTGCACTTTTCCAAACTGCTCTGTACTTGAAATCTGCAACCCCAATGTACTTTTCTTCCACTTGGAACCTGTAGAAAGAACTCACAGAGAACAAACAATATGCACTTGGGTTCCAAATCATTCGGCTAGGACTAATGTTGATTCTGAAAGTATTGTAAATAATTTTACCAAGACAGCTCTCTCTCTCTCAGTTTCAGCCCCACCCCTTAAAGCAAAAGAAAAAGGAATTTTCCACTCAATATCCTCACCTGTCCGGGCAGCAGAGTCGAGCAGGCTTGCATTTGAAAAGGCACCAGCAGCAGCACGCGGAAAGCAGTCAGCCAACAGCACTCCTGGGATCCACACATCATGCCAAAGAGAAACAGCGGTACCCGGTCCAGGATCAATACTTGCCCCTCTCCAGAACAGGTCTCCCACCTTGCAAATGTTGGCCCACATAGAACTATTAAAATCCCCTTCGATCTTTCTGGTTCTCCACTCCGAAATGGAGCTTCGATCTTTTTAATAAATTACATTTTACTATTTTAGGAAATTACAAAATTATATTAACTATAATTTTCTCTCTTTTTCTCTCACTTCCACAATCTTCAGCCAGATGCTTCTTCCTTCCTTTTCTCAATATTTCCATTGATTTCGTTCTGTCGAACTAATACCACTGCAACAATAAAACAACACCAATCCATTACAAAACACTACCATTGCACAAAACACCAAAATACCATTCGAGAAATAAAAACACTACCATTTCACAAAAACACCAATACCAATGCGAAAAAAATAATACCATTGCGACAAAATCAATACCAATGCGATAAAAACAATACCATTGCGAAAAAATAATACTAATGCGACAAAAACAATACCATTGCAACAAAAATAATACCATTGCGACAAAATCAATACCAGTGCGATAAAAACAATACCATTGCGACAAAAATAATACCAATGCGACAAAATCAATGCCAAAACAAAACAAAAAATACATACCAATCACCAACCGGCACCATCAGGCCTGCGAACGGTTGGCCGGAGCAAATAGAGAGAGGGGATCAAGAGGGTTGGAGAGAGAGGGAGGGTGAAGGTAAGGCGAAGAAAGGGAGTGGGGGAGGGAAGAGGAACCAATTGGGGATCTGAATAAATCAATTGGGGAGCCAAACTTAAGACCTCTAACGGTAGGGAGAGGGAGGGATCAGGGACACGGAGATAGAAAGGAAGAAGCAGCTAGGTGCAGGCAAGAGGAGGAGGGTCTGGGAGTAGGGGTGGGCATTCGGTCGGTTCGGTTCAAACCAAACCGAACAGACCACTATAGGGGTTCCGATCCAATTCAAAAGCCAAACCGAATTCGTACCGAATTATATTTCAGTTCAGTTTTGCCGAACCAAAATATAACTCGGTTCAGTTTTTTCCTTCCAAAACCGAACATACCGGTTGTTTGCGTTTTACCCTTCTGGCTCCTGCGTTTTGGCGCCTGCTGCTGGTCAAAACCGAAGAGGTCTCTCATTTACCCTATCTTCTCAAATCTCACTTATCCTTCCTCAGAAGAAACTCTCTCCCCCTCCAACCAACTAACGAGGCGGCGTCGACCGGAGGGCACAACGCAGGACGGCAGATGGCAACAGCTATTGACGGCAGCAATGATCTAAACTCAAAAAGGAAGAAGGGAAATCGACAGAGGACGGCAGCGGCAGCAGCCATTGCCGACGGTGATGGTGACGACCTCGGCGACGAAGGTTTGATCTTGTGAGTTCAGATCCAAGCATGCATGTTATTTTTTTGGTTTGTATCTCCTTCGAGTTTCAGGAGCATTGTCTCTGTTTTTCGATTCAGGTGGAGAAGGCACTAGCTGCGGGCTACGATAGTCGGCAGAGAAGAGAAATCTGCGAAGAAAGGAAGAAAGATTGAATCGGTGGTGAAGGAGGTGGAAAAGTGCGAAGGAGAAGATGGCGGAGATGATGGATTGATGGCGTCGGTCGTCGAAGAGCAAAGAGGCAGGGAACAGAGGGGAATGACAGGCGGCGACAACGACCGTTGTGTGGTGGGAAGGGATGGGCTAGATCTAGGCTAGGGTTTTGCGAGATGGGCTGATGGGGATGGGGCTAGGTTAAGGTTTCAATATGAAAAAGGGCTTATGGCTTTGGGCCTTGGGTTCATGAAATGTCAACTGTTGGGCATATATCGGTTTTCGGTTCGGAATTCGGGGATCTCGGTTCGGTTGAGGGAACCATGATTTCCGAATTACCCCTAATTTCCTTCCGAATTCCGAACCGAAAATCAAAATTTTGGTTTTGGTTTGGTTCGGGTTCGGTTCGGTTTTACCAAACCGGACGCTCACCCCTATCTGGGAGGATGAGAAATTGAGAATAAGAAGGGCGAGGTACGGCGAGAGAATTGTAGATCCTCTGTTTGCTGCTGGCGGTGGAGGGGAGTGCTTCGTTGGAGTCGGCGGTGAGTGATGAGGTGGTGGATGGAAAGACGATGGGAGCTTGCGGGATGCGGGGGATTTGGTTGGAGGAAGGGGAGGATAGAAGTAGGGTTTTGGTTGAATATATAAAATAATCTGGTGTGGTTATATTTTTGCTTCCAAAATTACCCTGAGACAATCTTAACCGTGAGATTAAAAATAAAAAGAAAAGATAAAAATGGATGACAGATACTAATGTAGCCACGGTGGCTACTAGAATTTTGATAACCACCCTAACGCATTCCATGCACTCTGCTATGTTTTCTTAGTGGCACATTGTGAATACAAGTCACAAAATAATTATGGCGCACAAAAATGAACGTGAGACAATAGTTCTCCAATCTCCAACAAATGAAAGGAGAAGTAACTTTCTCGCAGTAGCAACCCAAGTGTTTCGTGGTGGAGATTTTTGCAGTGTTGATTGAATGTATGTACCTCTGACTTTTTAAATCAAGACGATTATTATTACGGTTCTCACCCTCTTTGTATTTGAGATTTTGAGTACTAAACCTAAATATAACATAAATGGGTTCTTAGCAGCATATAATTAATTTTTGTTAGGGATAATTGTATTTACAAATATTATTCAGATTAAAGTTATATTGTCAATAATGCAGGGCATAAAGTTTGGGAGTAAGTAAATCCAATGATATGAAGAAAAGTGGTTTCAAAGATACTTTAGAGAATGAAACCTAAAGTCGTATTCTCAAGGTTCTTTCCTAGACCCTATTTATACTACTCAAGGACTCCAATAGTGTTTCAAGATGAAGATGTGGTTGAAATTCCACTTAGTTCCCAACTCAATTTTAATCAAATCAATATAATATGTAAGCAAATTAACTCGTGTTGTTTTTAGTAAGGACATACGTTTAGATATAATTTCCTACTAGCTAGGTTTACGCAATGAATTTGAAAAACTGTATCATCACTCGCCTAGAGCTATAGATTGTCACATGTCGGACACTAGTATCGAGGTGAGTAGTCAGCATGTCGAGATTGAAATCCTTCGATTACAATTGCATTAGCCTTGGTTGGCCTAAAAAAGGAAAATATATAGCAATCGAGTTTCTCCCTAGAAATACAAGGAATTTTGAATTAGTACTCAGCTCAACCAATCAATTATCGGGTTACTTTGTCATATCACAATTCCTAAGGTAAATTGCAAGCAATTTCCTAAAATGCAAGCGGTGAATTGTAAGAATGATACCCAACCAAATTAATCCCGATTTCTCATAAAATTAACAGACTAGTTTTTCTATGTTTTATTTGGTTTTTCTTCCATATGCAGTGCATAGAATTAAAGTTTTCGAGATTTTAATCCTACCATTACTCAATGTTTGTGTTTATTTTGATCGTCCTGCAAAAAAAGGATTATATAGTGAAAATAACAATATATTAAGAAATCTAAGATTTAGTTTTGCTTTGGTTTTTCCTCATGGTGTAAGGACTTTAAGTTTTTTCTACTACTTGTATCCTACATGCCCGTAACCATCCACAAATTCTCAATCCGGATGTATATTCATATTTGTTTGCATTTCGGTATAAGATTGCACATATACAATAGATATGCATTATGCATTTCTACCTATCTTTCCTTACCGACCACGACTAAAATAAGATGTGATTCCATTCAAGGATAGATATGCATTGGCCATTTAAGTTTTTTTTATCTATTAAAAAATTTTGAAAGGGCAAGTTATTTCTCCTTACATGCTAATATTTTCATTGAGGCATTTTATCATCAAACGAATTCTTCTTATAAATAGTGAATCCAAATACCAAGACAATCAAACTTTTGAAAAGACAACCTAAAAAATATAAGATTACTTCTTCTTTTTCTATCGATTTCAAGAGAAACATGGCTAAGTCTTCCACAATATACTTCTTGCTAGCCCTTCTGTTCTTCGCCTCCTTGGGTAAAATCTTCTTGAAAATTATTACTTGAAGTTCATTGTGATATTCTGTTTTTGTTCCTCTCTTTCCTACGCACTCCAATTAATTCATAATTTTGTTGTGGATTAGTTATGTGAATTTGTATACTAATTAATTTATTTCTTTATGTTTATTAATTAATTTTATATGCATACCAATGAAAAAGGTGGAACAAAGATGAACGTGGAAGCTAAAGACTGCTCAAAAGTATGGGATTGTAGTCGCGGCGGGGATCAATGTTTCAATGAATGCAAGAGTCGCTACGGTGGACAAGGATTGTGTGACCTCGGCACTGCTCCTGGTGTTCCACGACAATGCTTTTGTGCTTATAAATGTTAGAGAGGGAAAAATGATTTAGATTATAAGTCGTAGTAATAAGTAATGTAATAACTAATTACATATATGTTGACCATATATGTGATAGAAATAAGAAGGAGAAAAGTTGAAATCTCAGGAAATTCTCTAATCTTTCTTTCTAAGGCAACAAAACCTTAACCAGTCCAGACTATTTATTTTATTTTTTGATTTGATCAAGCTAGTTCGAGTTGGACGAATGCCCACGATTACAGTCTTAGTTGTCATTCAAAATCCCTTGATAATCAGAAGAAGAATTGGGGGGACTGGAGTTGCCAAATTGGTCTCCCGAATTGAACGGAATTCCCGACCCACTAATTAACATAGTAAGTAAAATATGGCATGAGTATGGTACGGTCTACTAGTACGTCAACAACAATAAATATATGAAATGAGTTCTTCTAAAAATAAATAAAAATGTAAAAATAATATTTAAATTATCTATTTAATTCACTAAATATGAATATTAAATATGCTATATGAGTTTTATATGTGTTTAATATGGGATCATAAAAAAATGAAGAAAATAAAATAGGTTGATAACCATACACAAATGAAAATTTTAACCGCATAAAATACGTATGTAGATATATACATATATACAAATGAAATATTTAATAACTATGAAAGTATTTAAATGCATTAACACCTATATTAAATGTGTTATACAGAAAAAATTTCTAACCCAATAGTTGGGGCATGGAACCTGTCAAGTTAAATTCAATTAAGAGTGTTATGGGGGGGAAAATTCAATTAAGAGTTAGAGACCAGAAAATTTGTTTGGATAAAGTTCCTCCTCGCTAGTTGATTTTCAAAATGAAAAGAAAAACTACCGATATTTGCCAAGTAATGAAACTTGATGGTAGACTCCTAAAAAAATTAGAAAATCTTCCAAATTATATGATGCTCCTCCAAATACATAGGAGAGTACTTTGTTGGGGTTTTATATCATCATATGATGTTCATTTCCATGGATCTATAGGTTATGATTCCCAATAAAATCTCTAAAACAAGAGTGGTTGAAAGACGGGTGGAGGGAGTCTTGTAGGATCTAGATATTATATGCTGATAATTGATTGCCATAGATATTCAAGTTTGATAAACACATTGAATACTCACCAACAAAAACCGTTCACCAAGAGATATGTTCGTAATTTTAATTGAGGTTAATACATATGTGATTGTGTGCAAGGCATAGAAACAATATTACAAAACACTAGACAAGGAAGAAGAGTACAACTCCAAGTGCACATCCCTCAACATTAGTGAATCATTCAACTCTACACCTGAAGTTCCAACACCTTGTATTTAGTCGGCACAGGAAGATTGTCCACAATAAAGTATTAGCAACTAGTAATGGTGATCTCGACATAGTAAAACCATACTTGTCGCCAGTGTTGATTTATGTAAAGAACACTCGCGATTATCAACAACGCCATAATGAAAGATACTCCACTGGTTACATAGAAAATTTTCATATCAATGAGGCCTCCTCCATCACCATCATCATCTCCATCGTTGAAAGTTGGTAGCCCTATTATTGGTTTAGAAGGCTGTAGTGGATAGGTGCAACAGAGAAAAGGGTTTCCCTCATAGCTACTCTCATCGAATGTAGCAAATTGTGCAACCCGTTTGGGACATTTCCCAGAAAGATTATTGCATGCCACACTAAAAGAAGATAGAGAAGTCAATTTTACGAGTTGAGAAGGAATCACATCACTCAAATTGTTGTGAGAAAGATCCAAACTCTCAAGTTGCAATAGACTTGAAAATGACGATGGAATTGATCATGTTAACTTGTTGTATGACAAGTTGAGAGCTTTAATGTCACCCATATAATCTACAATTTAAGTAGGCATCTCACCGGTGAACTTGTTGTTTGAGAAGTCCAAGCTAACCATCAGTTCAAGAGGGATTCCATTATAAGTATACAAGTGAGTCTTGGTAACCAATTCAAGACTTTTTGAAGCATATCTATCACGGTGTCTACGCTTGCAGCTTCTATTGCTGATAATCGAGTTGGTTCAAGTAGAGTACATGCCCATGATTACAGTCTTAACTCTCATCCATATTTGAGAGTTTACAACATAAAATAAAATACATGACCTCAAATTATTGAAATGAACTTATTAATCGTATCATATTGAGTTTTTGCTAATTGAGATTCGAGATGTTTTGCTTAATTTAAACACAATAATATGACTCTATGCAAACTTTGGGTCTAGTATGTTTTCCCTTGATGAAACATGGGAGAAAGTTATGCAAAGTTAATTATCGTTTCAACCTTGCAATAACTGAAAGGATTAATAGCATCTATGTTACTTTGTTTTTCTTCCGAACATGCACTCTTGACTCTACTACGTTTTGTGCCACGTTGAAAACAAGGCACACAGTAATTATGACGCACAAAAATGAACGCGAGACAATTAGGTTATAGTTCTCCAATCACCAACAAGCCGGTGATGAAAGGAGCAGTAACTTTCTCCCAGTAGTAACCCAAGGTACGTACGTACAACCAACTTATTTTACTAGCATATGGCCCGGCCTATTGGCCGGTGTAGTTTTGTCCAACATTCTTTTTATTTCTTAGAAAAGTAGGGACGTTAAAATGTGGTCCTTTTATATTAGACTATTTTGGGCAATTGATGTGACTTGAATCATACAAATACATAAATTGATGTGCTTGAATTTGACTTTTTGGCTACGATGGGATGTCACGGGATCTCAATCAGGTGCTTTCCCCTAATGGGATGTTTTTCCTTTACAATATTGAATTAGGGTTAGACCATGGAGAAGTACTATAAATACTTCTCATAATATGTATCTCCTCAAAGTAGTGAATTGCCTTAATTGTGTGTCGTGTGTTTGTTCATGCTTTCATTTTTTTGCTTTATCGAATCCTCCTATTTCCCGATCCACAAAAAACAGTCGTGAAAAGCTAGCTAGCTTTACACAATGAATTTGTAAAAATGTATGATCACTCGTACGGAACTATAGATTGTCATTAGAAGCCTGGAGATAACATGGGATGCGGGCTACAAATGGGTTTCAATCTAGTCAGACTCCAGAATAGTAGTCATCAGCATGTCGAGATTTAAATCCTTCGATTACAATTGTGTTAGTCTTGATCGCCCTACAAAAAGGAAAATATATACTCCAGGTACTCCTAGTGAAGGGTCAAACCGGTACTCCTAGTGAGATATCTCTATAGATCATGAATTAAATCGAGTTTGAGGTATGATACTATACCCTAACCTCTAATGGATAAACCCCAACCCCCGATTCTCTAAACCCAAACCCTAAGTTCAATTTAATGAAAAATTATAATCGACAGTTGAGATTGGTTAGAGCTCATCCAAGTACATCTAACGGCTAGATCAAATGGAGTATACCAGCCATTATACCATATAGTAAAAATAACAATACATTAAGAAATCTAAGATTGGTGGGAAAAGAGGTCGAGTGATACAAGAATCCTGTTTAATCGCCAATGAAGCAATCGATAGTCGCAGACTAAGTGGAAAGCCCGGTCTTGTCATAAAGCTTGATATAGAGAAGGCCTTTGACTCTATATGATGGGAAAGCATCTTCAAGGCACTGAAATCCATGGGGTTGCATCACAGGTTCTTGAAATGGCTGGAGGGCCTCGTTTCTTCATCGAAGTTATCAGTTCTGGTCAATAGCAACTCTGCCGGGTTCTTTGGAATGCAAAGGGGTCTCAAACAGTGCGACTCCCTTTCTCCTTTCCTATTTAATGTGGGAATGGACCTTCTCTCATTTATCCTCTGCAAAGTTAGTGCTGCTGGCCACTTTGCTGGATTTTGTGCCGATGAATCGAACCGCCAAGGGGAAGTTACACACCTGTTATATGCGGATGATGCAATTGTGTTCTGCGAGGCCAGTGAATCTCAGATCCGAAGTGTTCTGGCTGCCCTTGTTTACTTTGAGGGAATCACAGGATTGAAGGTCAACTTAACAAATCAAGGATCTCCCCGGTTGGAGAGGTTGAGAACTTGGACAGGCTGGCAGAGATCTTCGGGTGTGAATGGAGCTATCTTCCGGCGACGTACCTTGGATTTCCTTTGGGGGTCCATACTCCGTCCCCAGCTATTTGGAACCCCATCATTGCCAGGACACAGACTATACTCGACAGCTGGAAATGTAACCTGCTCTTGATCGGGGGCAGAGTTGTGATAATAATGCGGTGTTAGCTAGTCAATGCACCTACATGTGCTCGCTCTTCCGTGCCCCCAAAAACGTCATGAATGCTCTGGAGAAACTGCAGCAAGACTTCCTATGGTTTGGGACACAAGACAGAGGCAGGTTTCACCTAGTTTCGTGGGATCTTTGCAATACTGCTAGAAGTCGGGGAGGGCTTCGTATTCGGGACTTAGAGATCCATAATCAGGCGCTTCTCCATAAATGGCAGTGGCGGTTTGCGGAAGAGAGAGGCAGCTGGTGGAGGGAGTTTATTGCAACAAAATACCCTAATCCTGTCTCAGATTGGGTGGCTGGGGATCGCCAGGGGAGGTCGGGCAGTGGCATTTGGCAACAAATTATGAAACTTCAGAAGGACTTCTCGAAATTGGCTGTCATCGATCATGGGGCTGGTTACTGGACTTCTTTCTGGTTCGACACTTGGATCAGAGGTACCCGATTGGCAGATGAATTTCCGCGAGTTCTGGCCGCAGCGAAGTCTCTGAGCGCTAGAGTCGCTGAGCATCTGGTTGCTCAGGGTGTTGTTACCTAGTGGGAAATTCCTCTCAAATTTTTACTTCGGGGTGGGGCGAGAGAGAGCGTGTGAGTTTAGATGAGCTTTTGGCTTCCCTTCCTTCTTTTTCTTTTGTTGTAGATCCTGATAGAATTGTTTGGGTTCCAGAGCCGAAGGATGGCTTTACTGTTCACTCGGCTTACGAGCAGCTCGCTTTGACAAGATTCTCAGGAAGCGGTGACTTTCCGGCGAAAGTGGTCTGGCAAGCTGTAGTGCCGAGCAAAATCTGCATCTTCCTGTGGCTGGTCTTTTATATGAGAATCCTCACCCTCGATAACCTAAAGAAGAAGGAATTTAGCCTACCCAACCGATGCGCTTTGTGCAAAGAAGAAGAAGAATCAGTAGATCATATTTTCATCAAATGCAAGTTCTCCATTGAAGTGTGGAACATTCTGAAGTGTTTTATTAAGATCGATGGAATCGCTACCAACGTGGAGGATATCGCGGAAAGAATCAGACATTGGCACCATGGGGATTCGAAGGATCCAGGACAATGGTGTTCGAGGGTCGCGATTCATGTAGTTTGCTGGGCGATTTGGTTAGAAAGAAACAGTAGAATCTTTGATGATACAGAAGCGACGGCTTTCCAAATTGTCTACAAGATTGGAAATGACGTTTTCTGGTGGCTATCTGCAGCAAAAAAGGTTGATCACCGAACGACGTCGACTTGGCTTATAGAACTGAAACGCAGGTTGTTCCCCATTTAGACTTTGCTTCTGTTGTAGCTTGAGTGCCGCCCCTTAGCACTGTCAGTTGGGGTTCTTTTGTCAATGGCACTCTGGCGATTTCCTGTTCTGTTGCTCCTCCCTTTCTCCCTTGTATTTCCTTGTTGCTTTGTCTCCTTATTTTTGCTCCTTAATAATATTATATCAACCTTAATAAATAAATAAAAAACAATCTAAGATTGGTTTTTCCTCATGGTGTAAGGACTTTAAGGGTTTTCTAAAACTTGTATTCTACATACCCCGTAACCATCCACAAATTCCCAATTTGGGTGTATACTCATATCCGTTTGCATTTCGATATAAGATTGCACATATACTCGATAGATATGCATTGTACATTTCTACCTACCTTTCCTTACCAACCAGAACTAAAATAAGATGTGATTCCATTTAATTATAGATATGCATTGGCCATATAAGGTTTTTTTAATCTATTGTAAGAAAATTAAAAAAGGCAAGTTATTTCCCCTTACATGCTAATATTTTCATTGAGCGTCTTATCATCAAACAAATTCTTCTTATAAATAGTAGATCCAAATACCAAGACAATCAAACATTTGAGAAGACAAACTAAAATATAAGGTTGCTTCTTTTTTCTTAAGATTTCAAGAGAGACATGGCTAAGTCTTCCGCAATATACTTCATGTTAGCCCTTCTGTTCTTTGCCTTCTCGGGTAAAATATTTTCAAATTATTACGTGAAGTTCATCGTGATTTTCTGTTTCTTCATTTCTTTCCTACTCGCTCCAATTCATTTCATTTTTTAATTAGTTATGTGAATCTGTATAATAATTTCTTTTTTTATTTATGAACAATTAATTAATTTTATATGCATGCTAATGATTAAGGTGGAGCAAAGATGACGGTGGAAGCTAAACACTGCTCAGCTCTATGGGACTGTAGTGGCGGCGACGATCAATGTTGGAACGAATGCAAGAGTCGTTACGGTGGACAAGGATTGTGTGACCTCGGCACTGCTCCTGGTGTTCCTCGACAATGCTTTTGTGCTTATGAATGTTGAGAGGGGAAAAATGATTTAGATTATAAGCCGTAGTAATAAGCAATGTAATAACTAATTACTTATATGTTGACCATATATGTAATACAAATAAGAAGGAAAGAAGCTGGAATTTTCGGGAAATTCTCTAATTGTTCTCTCCAGGTACACCAACAAATCCTTAATTGTCATCCATATTTGAGAGTGGATA